GTCCCAAGTTCACAGTCACGTAAGTCACTTCTCAGGGGGCCAGGCCTTCACAGGAGGGCTCATGAAGAGGCCAGGAGTGTTCGGGCCGTGGGAGTCTGGCTCTGTGGGAGGAAACAGCAGGAGTGGAGAATCCGCCACCCCCCACCACCCCGAGCGTGGGAGCCCCATTTGGCACGGGATTTCAGTTCTGACATCTGTGTGGTGTTGGGAGCAGTTGAAGAACTGTTAGCAGAGCAGCGTCCGCAAGTCACCCTCCAAAGGTCTCACCTGCAGTGTGTTCTTCGGCTTCGGTGGAGGGGACGGTGGAGGAGTCAGCTTTGGAAGCTTTTTCAGAAAACAGCTGTGGGAGGTTGAGGTTTGGATCAAGGCAGTGGTGGTGAAGATGACTTTAAGAGAAATTCTGGTGGTAGAACCCATGTGTTACGTCTCCTCCATCCCTGCCCCGGGATATGCATGCAGTTTGAGCGTCCAGGTGGAGCAGGAGCAAGGTCCAGGCGGGGCCACGTGGACCGTGGAGTTGGTAGTCAGACACAGAGTTCCAGAAGCAGGAAGCGCACCAAGCAAGGCTGCGTAGACTTGGAGACGTTGGCAGGGAGGTAGCGGGGCCACAGAAGGAAGCTGGGGGCACCCACATTGAAAGAGCCAGAGGAAGAGGCTGAGAAGGGGGTTCCAGCCAGGGGAGGAAACCCGGGAAGTTGGCATCGTGGAAGGAGGGATGTTCAGGGGAGGAGGAACCATCCGTGGTGCTGACGGCTGCCCTGAGGTCAAGCAGGATGCAACCTGCCTCTAGCTGGTCACCAGTGACCTTGGTGATGGCCGGTTCAGCCAAGGGTATGGAGGCGGAAGACAGGCCGAAGTGGTCAGGAGAACAGGGGAGGGGGCGTCTAGGGAGTACACCTGCTTTAGAAGGCTGACTGCAGAAACAGGGCCTGGCTGGCAGTTTGGTCTCAGATCTGTTACCCTAATCAAACTGAGAGACTGTGGGGAACGTGAGGGACAGGGCAAAGGGAGACACAGGTGCTGTCCTGGAAGCGCGGGAGTCGGGTGGGGATGCTTCCTTGCGGGGCGGGGCGGGGCGGGGCAGCCGTGTGACAAGCCGCTGTGGAGCCAGATGGACGGGGTCAGAATCCCTGCTCTGCCACTGGTCCCTGCTCAGCCTCGGCCTCCTCATCTGTCCAATAGAGGAACCCGGAGGATTCGATTAGTTAGCAGGTGGGAAGCTCAGGCTGCTGGCCCTTCGTTCAGATGCAAGCAACAAAATGAGGGGGGGGAGGGAGGAAGATGCTACTTAGTTACCTGGTACCAGGCTGGCCGGATCCCCCCCCCACCGTGCAACTAGACTCATTCTTTCTTCTCCTTTAATGTGAATGTTTTGCAAATCAGAGTGGAAGCAGAAATAGGGCATGAGGCCAGGGCTTAATGAGGTCCTGTGTGGGAGCCATCAGACTCTTATTTTGACACACTGATCAAAGGGTGCCGCGTGTCGCCTCTCCAACAGAAAATTAAAAGCTTGTGCAGAGAGTAAAGGTGTAACTTACTTTTCTTCTTGCTTACGTTCTTTAATAAACAACTTCTTTTTAATTGAAGAATAGAAATGCATCTGTGGAAGTTTACTTATGGGTATGGCTGAAAAAAGTGATCTCAAGTCACCACCCAGGTCAAGAAGGGGCCACTGCCAGCCGCGGGGGGCCTCTCGTGCCCCCCCCCCAGGCACAGGCAATTTGCTTGCTTGGTTTTGAAGTTTCTGCAGTGTACTTACAGATGTGGTTGAAGGGGCTCGTTGGGGTGTCTTTTATCTGTTACCCAAATACAATTTTTAAATTGTGGAGGAAGTGACATTTAAAATGTATTTATTTGTCTATTTATTTACTTATTTTTACTTACACGTGTGTAAAAAGTTTTTCCCTGCAGTTTTATCGAGATAGAATTGATGGTCTGCGTGAGTCTGAGGTGCGCAGCGAGGCGATATGTCTTGGGTGCCTCACGAGATGATTATCCCAGTAAGTTCAGTGAACATCCCTCATCTCATGTAGACACAAAGTTAAAGAAATAGAAAAGTATTTTTTTCTTATGGTGAGAACTCTCAGGGTTTACTCTCAACAACTTTCCTATATAACATACAACAGCATTAATTATATTTATCACATTGTACGTTCCATTCCTAGGAAGTGACTTTTAAAACACTCTAGACATTAGTACTGAAATATCAGGAAGTTAATGAAATCGATGAGTATCTGGGAAAAGAGCAGACCTTTTCAGTTTGTGTCAATGACAGCATTTCACACGTCGGCTTAGCTCCGGTGGCAACTTGATGGGCAAGTGTCACCAGAATTGGGAAAACAGCACACCCTGCTGATAAAGATTCCAGGTTCTTTTAAGTCAGCTCAAGAGACTGTGCTTCTGTTCCGTTCACTCATTCATTACATGTGTTTACGTAAAATATGTCACGTATCCCTTCGTGGAATGACGAAAGGCAGACAAAGGCTCAGTGATGATAAAAACTGCCCAGACAGTGTAGCCTGGGGTGTAAGTAACATTCCTGTTCTAAGTCAGCTGACATTGAAGGGTTCTGACTGTCATGAGCCGTCGCGATTCCCGTTACAAGAGGACAGTGCCTTCCTCCCCCAGGCTTTCCGTTCCCTTGAGCTGTGTCTGGGGGGGGGGGCTCACCCACGCGCACGGACCAGCCCAGCTCCCTGGCCCACAGAGGTCTGCCTTTTCCCCGCGGAGGAGGAGGTGACCCAACCTTACGAAACAGTCACTTTACCTCCGTTTCCTCTTGACTGTTCTTGCTTCTTAATTAAGTCACACACTCCCATTGTGCTTCAGTAAGTGTCCCCTACTTTTGTGGGTTGTACGGTGGTTCCAAGGCAATCTGTGTGTTTTAGAACAAAATATTTGTAATTCACTTCCTTTCTTCCACTTCTGCATAGACGTAAAAATTCTGGGAAAATAGATCAAATAGGGTTAAAAGCTATAGTAAAGTTTAAAAATATGCTACCAGTTATTGGAAGCTGTGACTTCACTTCTTTGTAATAAATGAGGCAAAACAATAATTAAGTGGACGGAAGAACTTCAGTGCGTAATGTGGGGCTCCTGTGTGTACAGCCTGGTCTGTCGTCTGGGGGAAGAAGCTCTGGTGGAAAAATGTTCTCCTTGCCCGTGAACTTGCCCTTTCTAGCCTCTGTGTAGGAAGGAGGGAGCATTCATTTGCATTTGGAGTTTCATAAAATGAGGATTTCAGTAACACATTTGACTTGTCTTAGAAAGTTTCTCAGCTCTTCCCTTAGAGTAGAAAACACAGAAAATGTCTACGAAGTTCTCCCAACAGCTTCAGCCTGTTTAACTCTAACGTTTGTGCTTTTTCTGTGAGATTAAAGATGAAAGATGAAGTAACTCTGAGGCCATGAGTAGAGTGAAAATGCATTAGAGTTAATGGTCAAAAAAAAACCTTTGCTCTTGTTCCCCCAAAAAAGTAAATTGGAAATCACCCAAATAATCATGATTTTAGGTTAATTTATTTCTGGTCTTGGAATTTCCATTCACCTGTGTGACACATGTTTTATGGCTGTTGGAATCTGATCTTAAATTTTATTTTTGAGCTCACATAATGATTTTTAAAATATTCTAATGCACGTCTTCAAAGACCACGGATCAATACGCCAATGGTTTTGAAATGACAGAGTGTTGCGATATTCCTCTGTAATTTAAACGTGATTAGCTGATGAAGGTTATGATCAATATGCTGCAGGGAGATAAATTAATTGATACCGTCCTTTCAGGATGGTAAGAGGCTGATTGGAGGTGGGATGTAACTAATGAAGCTGCTGCTTCATCTCTGTGAGCCATTTTTTATACATTGCATCTTCACTTAATCATATTTATACTATCATTCATTTACATGAAAGCCGTAAGCTGTGGACAAACCAGCTCCTTCTTAAAACTGTATCCATTTGGAAAAGAAATTATCTGTGGACACTGTGTGCTCGCCTAGATGATAACCTATTGCTGGGGACAGTGGTGTGCTCGTCTGCAAGGGATCTTTAAAAACAGCAACTATCTGGGCAAAGACAAGGATTGCATATCATTGAACTTAATTACAGCTCGTCCCCAAGGACGCACATCTATGCAGACAAAAGCTGTAGTTGTTCCCCTGCAGTGACACCTACTGGTGCAGGAAGAGCTTTCTAACCGTTGACTTCCTTTCCAGTTAAATCCAACATGCTTGATCAGCGAGCCTATTTGCCGAGAGAAGTCATGGCTGGTTGAATTTAGACTTGTATTGATTAAGATAAACTCCCAACGTGTATAGCAATATATCGAAATTTTTAAAAAAGTCTTTGATATAATTACATGCCCTTGAATATAATTCTTTGCAGTAGCTGGTAGAGTTCAGAGTAGTTCTTTAGGCTCTGCAAAAAATAGATTTTTGATTTTCAAGGAAGTCGGGTTAAATTACCCTGATTTATTTAGGATTATTATTGCTGCAGGTAATTGGGGGATAAAAGTCCTGTTATTAGAATAGTTCAGACAAGATAGGTGTGTATTTTTCTGTTTCACATGCAAGGCTTCCCAGGTGGTCTGTGCAGGGCTGCCAAGCTGAAGGCCTGGCCCCTTTATCTGGCATCCCACAAAGTGGGCTTCCATCCCTAAGATCACTGCCAGGGCTACACACAGCGTGCGTGGCTTCACATAGAGAGAAGGAACGTGAGGAAGGATGGCCAAGGTCAGCTCCCGCAAGGGGGTTTCCTGGGTGCTGCCAGGTGGCCTTCCCACAGCCAGCCCGGTGCCCAGAGCTTGCTTGCGTGTCCTTCTTTAGCTGGGGTGCGGGGATGGACCAGAGGCAGCCCCAGGAGATGGTGTATCTGTTCTGGTCGTCATGTGCCCAGATGAAAATCAGGGTAAAGTGAACGGCAGGGACGACCCCCGGGGCCTCTGCCGCAGTCTCTGGATTTGGAAACCAGCCTCACGGAGATGCCGTTTGTCCCCCTGTCTCCTAGTTGCCCAGAAGATTGTTGCCACTAGGAAGAAGCAGCAGCTGTCCATAGGGCCCTGCAAGTCGCTCCCCAGCTCCCCGAGCCACTCGTCTGTCTGCTCGGCCCAGGTGTCCGCGGTGCACATCAGCCAGGTATGCCGGGCGCGTGGGAGGCGGGGCTGGGGGGCAGGTCTGAGCCCTGAGTGTTCTCAGCCAGCTCCAAGGTGGATTGGTTTTCTTTTCAACTTTGTAAATAACAGCATGTTGGTAATTGACTTAACATCTCCTTCACTAACCGCTGTGGCCAAGCGGCTTTTATGGGCATCACTCTTTACCGTTCCCCGTCCTCATGCTGCCTGTGTTAGGAGGCATGCTGGCTGGAGCGGGGCTGCGGGGTGTGCGCCGCGGTCTCTGCTGCTGATTTAAATCACCCCGTGTTGGGCCTCGTTCTTGTCCGCTTGTGGGTTGAGCAGCTGTGGGGAGATCTCAGTGGCTAACCCCACTCTGCACTTCAGTGTGGTAGCGGCCCTCACTTACGACTGACTACCTTCTCCCTCCGGCCCTGCAGAAACTAGTGTCTTTCCATTGCAGCATTTCTCTAAATTATTTACTTGGAAGCAAACAAAAACTGTCATTGTCACTTTGAAGAACTGCACCAAAAGCCCATTAGGGACGTGCTGGCGTTGTTTCGCCTGCACTCATGTCTGCGGTTGACGTCTCTTGGGCAGGTAGGGGTTGCACTGGCGCTTTCTAAAAGGATGAGTAAGAAGGTTTAGTGTTTTCCGCTAGCTGCTTGCGGAGTCAGGAAGTGCGCTCACAGTGGTGCTTGGGAGGGTGCAGCCAGGGATGGTAACTTCTCCACTGCGGGCAAAGGTGGAATCTTGAAGTATCTTCCTCAAAACACTCGCGTTTCCAAGATGCCATTTTCAAAATGGGAGCCGTGGTTATACGAGGCAAAATCGCGCCGTCTCTGCGTCTGATCTCGGGCTCTGAAGGGACGGTGGAAACCACCTAGTTCATCCAACTCTTTCCTTTTCCAGAGGAGACAGAAAAGTAATGGCATTTTAACTCTCCATTTTTTTTAAGTTAATGATAAAGACTTCTCTTTCTTAAGTCACTTTTCTTAAGTCAAAACGGCTCTGAGCGGACGAGTCTGTTCTAGAATGAAACCGTGCGTGCTCGGTGCCGGGGCCCCCGGCAAGCAGCGGGGGTGGTCCCACCTGCCGGGCGCCCTTCCCGCTGTGTCTTGCCGACCC